CTCGGAACTCATCTGTTTACCTGCAAATGAAAATCTTCAGTTGCTCACCGAAGCTGCTTCTACCGACTGCAATCTCACCGAATAGTTATTACCTTGTTCAAAACTCATTGGTTGGTATCAAAGGCAACTGCTAGTTTTCCATGCAGATAGAAATTTTTTTTCGACAAGAAAATTTCGAAATTGATGGAAGATAACGTAAAGTCGATAGCGCAGTGCTCAAAAACAACTGATTTTTCACGGAAACAGCGCAATGCAAAGGAAAATATTCACAAACTTTCGCTGATCTCAAACGATGTGAGTTTGCCCATTGCTCGAACGTAATTCACCAAATCCGATAGTTCCGTGGCGATCATATCTGATTCACTTGACTGCAAAACGATCAAGCCTCATTTTTGCAATTTCTAGTAATGAGCATTGGAAACTGAATCATATGAACGAAGACTGAGATCGAGTGTTGAGGTAATGAAGTATTATTCTTGATAATACAAAAGCTTCACTCACTGAGACTTTCTCNTCCAAACTGCCCTGCGAAATCAAACCAGCGCGACGCATGAATTCTTCTTCAGCCTGTTCTGATGCTGAAAAAAATGGAAATTCTTTTCCACCTCGAAGTTTACCTCCAAGAACATCTTCTCGATATGAATTGTAATTTTCACCATCTTTTCTAATCTCATTATCGAAAAATATGTTAACGCCTGATTGTTTTCGAAACGAAAATCAACTGAAATTTAGAAGTATCAAGCACCTTTCTCATCGTTCAGCTCCTCATTATCAGTTGATGGCAGCGAAGTGAGTTCATTCTCGCCATTTTCTTGATATACTGCAAAATTTTAATTACTACCGTTTGATTAGCAATAACACACACACACTGAAGTTAGGTGCTGAGCAAACTTGAATGCATTCTCTCAACAAATCGCCTGCCTACTAATCAGGGTCTTTTCAATTTCAATCAACTCGATGAGCACAATGAAGATGAACTTGCAGTAATTCATCATTATACATAATCCTCAAAGTTAAATTATGAATAGAACAAAACGACAAGGTATTGGTTACCTTTATCACTACCACTCGACTCGACCGATTCTTGTTTGGTTACA